TTCCTACATGTGTCGCATTATCTATCAACTGTATATGACGCAAAACTGTTTAAACAAATGGTCAGGTGGCCAATCTTGTGTAAGAAAGACGAAGCAACATATCGCGTCGAGATGAAAAACTTCCTGTGCCTGTTATCACAAGACAATCCTGATCTTAATTTCCCGACGATACTAATGTCCCATTTGATCCAGTCGGCAGGAACCAAGTTTCAAACTATTATGTGGAAGCTATCGCAACTCGCTCTCAAGACCTATATCAAAAGAGATCGTACGTAATGTGCCAAATGTAGGAAGAAAAGTTGTATTGTATTTTCGTGCCAATCTGTGTTATTTATCCAAGTTGGTTTCTTCAGTTCAAGGAGAATTGTTGAACGCCCCATGTATAAGCCCAGTGCAAGATTTAGCGATAAAGTACTTCAATAATATAATTGTGGAAAAATGCAAAGTTGTAACGGAGACTCGCAAGGAGACGGAGAAGATATTGGATGCTGCAAATAATTTTCTGAAGTAAATCACTATTTTTGTTGTCTGTGAACGGCGATATATATTAATTTACATATAATTACATTTATATATTTTAGTGACGAGATTGAAAGATTAAATACATATAAATCAGAGATTTTCGATAGAAGAGAGAATATAAGAAGGATGGTCCCTGATCTGCCAGCTCATCCGTTAGTTCAAAAGCAACTGATGAACGTCGAAGATTCCAATATCACAAACTGTTAGTACACAATAAATATTCTTCTCGTAAATTTATTCATTGCTAACTTTCACGATATTCCTTCTCGCGTTTGCAGTATGGAAAAGAAGCATTTTGAAGAAAGTCCAATATATACTTAAAAAGAACCAGGAATTCAAAGAAGTAGAGAAATCCTTTGATCGTTTGTGCAAACTTGTACTAAGAATAAACTCGAATTCTAGGACGCTCGACGCAAATGAATTTCCCGAAATTTTCTGTGATAATTGTTTATTATATACGCAATCTGAGGCGCAGTCTAAGGTAATTGAATAAAAATTTCGTACGCGGTTCTTGCGATCAATTATTTTTATTTTTATTTTTTTTTTTCAATTTAAGCATTTAATCCACAACTTACATGCGAATGGCTCCATTGTGTTCAACACTTTGTTGTCGTTGCTGTATTTGATAGTCACGGAAATCCGTCACGAAAGCATCGCCGACCTCTCCGATCTATCGCAGTGTCTACCGTCCATTCAGAGTGCTTGCAAAAAGATGAAATCTCTGCGAACGCTATTCAGCGCACTGAACACGAGAATCGGCGGTATATGCAGGAATGAGCAATGTGCGGTGTCTCGAGAAATTAAAAATGTTTACATCGACTTCGACGCGAGCAATGTACCATGTGTAAACCGCTATATCTTATTGCAATCTCCGAAGATTAGTTTCAACCTCGATCAGAGCACGGACGATAAACTTTTTTACGAGAGATTGTGTTCATCTCCGGTGGAAGGTATTGCTCGTTAAAATCGCGTCATTACGAAATTAAAACCGAACGTCACGAGAGTGTGTTAATTTTTTCAGGCAAACACCAACATTTGTTTAGGAGGTACAAGCATAAGTATCGTCCGTTGCGCGAGCTACCTGCACCCCTGTTGGACTTTAGTAGTTCTTGGAACAATATGAGCGGATGGCTGTCTCCCCGCGCACACTCCGTCAAGTGTGAGCAAATCTTGGTCAATGGAAAACCGCTTTCGCCCTTGTACTCTCGATTGCTGCAGCATTCCAAAGGTTTACCGCGCTTTTCAATATTCCGATACGCTTAAAATTCTCTTATCAGTTGAATGAAAACGTTGAAGATAAAAATTAGCGTGTGCGCTTTCAGGACACGCGTCGCGTAGCCCGGGCACGAATTACGAGGGATTGAACCTAACACCGAGGAAACGTCCCTCAAGAACGGGGCATCTCACAACGTACGGCAGAATAAGAAATCTTTTTTAATCCCTTTTTTAATCGTGAAACCGTTCTCGTTACACACATCCTCAAATACGAAGAATTAACGAGATGCGCAACTGATTCGACAAGAATTCATGATATTGATATTAGAAGAAAAATTGATAATAATGCATTTTTTTAAGTTTTGACAAAATTAATTGCTCAAACTTACTGTTAATAGCGTTGATCTATATATTTAAGGCATATGATATTTATTTCATTTTCTATCTTATTGTTTGCCTGGTACTCTACATTTAATAACGGCTAAAGGACAATGTTAGGCATAGATCGATATAACATATTTATAAAGGTACATATTATATATCTGTCATGGTCCAATGATTTTTTAATACATAAGGATCCTGTTGGCCTGTACATTTTCCTGCATTTTTCGGATTATTTTAATATTAAATAAGGTAAATGAGATAAATTGAGTAATATATCGTCATAAATCTTGTTTTAAAAAGATGTAGAGAAAACGGCCTATTTTCAATATTGTTCTTTAATGAGTAAAACGAGCACTTCGTAAATGCTCTCTAAACTTGTGTATTTTTCTTTTTAGATGTCTAAATATTTGTGTGTTGTGACCGCTAGTCAAAAAGACGATTTGCATATTTGTCAGCTGAGCATATAGTTTTTATTTTTATATCTTATAATATAACTTTGTGTACATTTAATTTTTCGCACGCGTTGAACACGTGTGAACACGTGTTGCCTCCCCCCTTTCGCTCCCCATTACACTTTTTTTTTACTCCCTTTTGGAGTGCACTCCTCAAACGGTTATAACAAACTTCGGAGTCATTACAAATCGTTATATAAGCAAGTATTTAGACACGATGATTCGGTTATTATTTACAGAAAAAGCAAGAATAAACTGAATAAATGCGAGGCTGATTGGCTATCGCACGTGCCAGAACCATAACCTTCCCAATATCTCGCGAGCGAGCTCCGAATTCACTGTAGTGGTGAAAATCGCATGTTTTCTAAACATCGAATGAACATCGCCATAATAACTGCATGCTACATCTTTTCGCATATATATTTTTAAAATGACAAGATATCTATATATATGCGTTCTTCTGTATTATCGGAACGAGAAATTATTGTCGATAATCCGTATAAGTTGCCACTTAATAAATTCGAGCTCTGTGCGTAGACTTCTGTATAATATAATTAATTTAATTGAACACTTGGACTAATTAAATTATTGCACGTTGCAGAAAAAAAATGTACTGCCTTTTAATAGCTACTGTGTTTTCAAATTATAGAAAGAGACATAATAAATTAAAAACATTATTTCTCGACAATAGCAACTCACGTGAAGATGATGTTTTTATAAATAAAAAATATTAAACATGGAAAATTTTCTATTGTAGGGTTGGGAACTCAGGGGAGAAAACTTGCACGGAATATTATGCGGAAATTTTGCTGACAAAATGTGCTGTTGCTTGCTCGCAACACTTGTACTATACAAATTTCTATACTAAGCACTTCAGATTCGACGACATCTTTTTAGGTTTAGTAACTAACAATAAGAAAGCTGATATAGTACCGTTTCATTGCGAAGAGTTTTATTTTTATAAGAAAGCAAAATATAATTACAAGTATATATAAACATTAAATCATTTTTTCAGATTTTATTATTGTCTAGGGTGTCCACCTCTTTTTTTTTGAATCTATAAGACAAATAAAATAAAAATAAGAAAAATAATAATAAGGCAAATAAAAGAAAAATAATAATAAGACAAATCTACAATAAGACAACCTTCAAAAAAACCGCCTCGGTGCGCGCTTTTAAATCGTTATGCGCGCTTATGATCGCTTCAAGTTCCGATCTCTTCTGCTTCAACTCTTCTAAACCTAGGAAAACAATTAAGGTTCTTTTTCAGTATAGGTACAGCGACAAATTCTTGTTTCGCACGCGTATGGTGTCTTTAACGCCACGGGATTATGTCAAAACAAGCGTATATTGTACTTGTATTTTGTTTTAAATCTCCAAAATCTGACTAATCAAAAAACTCAAACTAATCTCTCTGTTACGTCATACCAACTCCGCTTTTATCTTCCTCGTAAACTTATGAAACAAATAATTTAAAAAAACGGGACTTACATTGTGCTAGCTCCTGCCAAAACGTGGCCAGATGAGTAACTTGTTGTGCCATGTTATTCTTTTGACAACGGCGACTCGATTCTATCTGCCGCCCGTCCGTGCCTTCCTTTAGAACGCGCGAAGGCTATCCCCTACTCCATCTAACCTTCCGGGCTTTCCGTTTATTTATTTTCGTGTTAACGCAATCTAACCGACTCATGCCTATCTCTATTTGAAAGTCGTATACTTATATCTATTCGAAAATCTTACAAAAGAGAAAGAGAGGTCGATGTTTATCAACACGTTATCCGGAACTCTTTAATTCGGGCGAACGGACTGTCGGACTTCGGTTTTGGCGCGCGATTTCCCGCAAGCGACTCAGGTAGCATCTAATGTCTAAAAGACATCATAAAGACATCTTTAAGATTTCTGGCATCTTAAAGACATCTTTAAGATTTCTGGCATCTTAAAGACATCTTTATGATGTCTTTTAGACATTAATGCTACCTGGGGACGTCTCGCGCATACGTATCGGGCGCCATAGAAGTACAAAAAGATTTGTCTTTTTCTCGCGTTACGATCTATACGCATAAAAATTAATCCAGAAAAAATAGAAAATTAAAATCAAGAGACATTCTTATACACATCTAAATGTAAAAATCTTTAAATATTTTTAATAGACGTATATATATAATATATTATAAATAATTTGACTTTTTAAGTTATACTTGAATAAATTCAAATAATGCAGAAGCATACATTTAAATGTAAAAATCGTAGTAATTAAATGTGTGGTAAAATGTAAATTATTTTCTATACTACGGAGTGTAGAAAGTAATGTACAATTATTTCTCTACTTTGATCTAACTTACTATATATGTATATATAAAGGCTGTATTACACTACGGGTTGCGGGTACCTAGCCGACAGAAATAATTAAATTTGATTTTTAATTTTTCTAATTATAAGCGTATACACATTTCAGGATCTGCGTAATGCAATCTGACGACAGATAGGTAGCAAAAACCGAGTAGAATCTGTTGTTTCCAAGTTATATTTAATAGGTAAAAGGAATAACATTAAAATACTTTTTATTTGAAATATAGGAGACTATACAAAATATATACGAGACAATTAATAATATTTGTGACGATTGTGGCGCAGAGAGATTTAAGTTATAGTGAACCGAAAATCCGAGTTCAAATTCTAAAAATTAATCGGAATATAAAAGCGAAACGCGATGAGATAGGACAATTGAAATTTTATTGATCCTTTCGAGCTTTGAATCTCCTCGGCGAGTGCATTATCGCGATTATTCGATGTATGATGTATGATCGAGCCAAAGAGCTCGTGCGGCGACAAAATTGATCGGGATCAATCACGGCGATGCCGCGACGCGACGTAGCGAATGCGGTAACCGCAGCGGATCATATGAGAAAAAGATGGAGAAAGAAGGAGAAAAGAGAGAGAGAGAGAAAAAAGAGACATGCATACGTAGCGCACAAACATGGCGGTAATCCTATCAGCTGATAGTGTCCGCCGCTAGAATGACGGGCCGCATTTTGGTTAATCGGGTTAGATCGCAATAGGTCGTCCCCTCTCCCTCCCGCGCCGCGCTGTCATCATCCTCGACGCCTCGACGTCGACGGCGGGCTGCGCGTGCTGGCCTACCTACGCTACGTTACGTATGTGACAATACGTGTGTGCGATCCGATCCGAACCGAATGACGCATCGACGACGATGCTAATGCATTCCCCGCATGCTGGCACGGTGTACACGTATAATCGCAGCAACCGGAGGAAAACGAGAACGAGCGCGCGTCGCTGACAGGCGGAAGGCAGCACGCGGGAATGTCGTAAGAGTGATAATAATCGTCCGCTCGTTGGCTCGTCGGTTAACGAAACCCGACCCGAGTTCGAGCTCGGGGTGGATAATAATCGGAGAGCGAGCGGAGTCCGCGTTGATCCTCGCGGAGCGGGATCGTCGTCATCGAGAGCGAGCGGTCTGTGATGAGCGACTCCGAACAACAGCAGCTGCACGTGCCTTACCGAGAGTACCATAGCCAGAACAATACCAGCCACCTGCCACCTGCCACCGCCGCCGTCGCCGCCGCCGCTGCCGCTGCCGCTCTGGTGGACACCGATGCGCTGGTGGACCTGTCCATCGCGCCCGTCAGCAGCAGCAGCAGTAGCAGCCACCATCAGCGTCTGTCATTGCAGAACGATCAGCCGCCGTCGCCGGCTGACCTGCTCCCCGACGTCGAGTTCATTCCCGGCTTGAGCAACGACCAAACCCTAGCCATAGATTCCTCCGGAATCGACCGGGAGAGCCAGCCTCTCCTCGGTCGCTTGGAGCTCGACGTCACGTTCAATAGGTTTCCAGGTTCGTTTCCAGCTGTGGGACAGAGGACAGCGATGTCCCCTGGCCTCCCGTGTATATCTGTTGGTGATTCATGACATCTAGTGACCTTCGAAGAATCATCATTTTTCATATTTGTTATCACGCGTAGGAAATTACATTTCACGTATATATGTTTATATATTTGTAGATGATCCACAGTTCTCGGAACTGGTGTGGCAGGCTGAATGCGCGATAGACAATGGGGTTTACCCAGAGAGGATATACCAGGGTTCCAGTGGAAGTTACTTTGTAAAAAATCCAGCGGGGGTAAGATGTAGCTTCTAACCTGCTCGCGAAAGTAAGAAGTTTAGGCACTTCTATTGTCACTTCTGATCCAACGAATGATACAACGAACGTGCAAATTAACGATGATTCCGTACTGTCTTGTCAGAAAATCATAGGTGTGTTCAAGCCAAAAGACGAGGAACCTTATGGCAGGTTGAATCCAAAATGGACAAAGTGGATGCACAAGCTCTGCTGTCCGTGCTGCTTCGGCAGGAGTTGCTTGATTCCGAATCAAGGATACCTGAGCGAGGCTGGCGCCAGCCTGGTCGATCGCAAGCTGGGTCTCGGCATCGTGCCGAACACTAGAGTGGTGAAACTCGTCAGCGAGGTGTTCAATTATCCTCCTTTGGATCGTCAGAAGGCACGCATGAAGCAAGCCATCATGGAGCAGTTCCCTACGGTGGGATCGCATTTCAATCGTATCGGTCTACCGCCGAAGGTCGGTTCCTTCCAAGTCTTCGTGGATGGTTACAAGGACGCCGATTACTGGCTGAGGCGATGGGAGAGCGAGTCCATGCCGGCGCATTTGAGTCGAGATTTCCAACTCCATTTCGAACGTTTGGTCATCCTAGATTATATCATCAGAAATACAGACAGGGGTAAATGATAAAACCGTTTCTATTTATAATAGCGTTAGCTGGATAGTTTCTTTCCTCACAACGAATATCCCGCTTGCAGGTAACGACAATTGGCTGATTAAATACGATACTGGCGTTAGCAAGAACGGATCTGAACAGGGTGAAGTGAAGATCGCGGCGATCGACAACGGCCTGGCCTTTCCCTTTAAGCATCCAGATTCTTGGAGGGCTTATCCTTACCACTGGGCATGGTTAACTCAAGCAAAACAGCCGTTCAGCGAAGTCACGAGAGAGCTAGTCTTGCCGCAACTCTCGGACCAGAATTTCGTACAGGATCTCTGCGATGATCTGTATCAACTATTTAAAGTATGCTGCATGTATTATTTGACGTGAATGAGCGTATCGCGTTTCGCTCGTCACACGAGCAACAATAATCTCACACATAATTTGCTCGTCTGTTTCCGCAGCAAGATAAGGGCTTTGACCGACATCACTTCGATAGGCAAATGAGCGTGATGCGCGGCCAAATTTTGAATCTACAACAGGCTCTGAAAGACGCTAAAAGCCCCGTGCAATTGGTACAAATGCCGGCTGTAATCGTGGAAAAGTATATATACATATATTTGTTTACTTTTATTTTTAGATATATAATAATTAATGTTACAAAGTTTCACACATTTTATTCTAGAGCCAAAGGAAACGGCGCTCCCCGGTTGTTTTCATTCTCTGACACGTTTACCCAGCGCTTCCAGAACAAGAGTCCATTCTTCTCCTGGTGTTGAAAACGAAAATCAGAGTGACTTGAATCGGAGTGCTCGTGAATAAGTGTGTCAGTGGTATCAGTGTCAGTCACATTGTCCTCTCCGCCGCGAAAAATGTTATTACTTATTTTTCTAAGTTTATCCTACATTTCTACCTCTCTTTCTTAAGTTTTATTTCTATAGTGAGGCTGCAAATTGATCAGGAAAACGCGGTTATCCTTTTTAGACTGTCTTGTATTTATAATCTCTTTTCCATCAGTTTAATTGGGATATAAGATATTCGTACAACTATATTGTATACAGTAAAATATAATATATATATATATATATAATGTTAAAACACATTTTCTTTTAATGCGCATAATGTGCGAAGTGTAAAAAAAGGGCGTATGTGATTTAGATTATAATATATAATTTATGAACATAAAAAAGAGATACAGGCCAGGTTGTACGAAATGTCTCTCGCGTGTCTTCCACACGTACACATACACACATGCATATATACACACATTGTAGTTTGTGCCAATCGGTACCGTGAAAGGAGTGCATAAATCAATACCTAGAGAACGACTAATGTCATGCTACAACTTGAAAGTTGAAAGTTAAAAATATCTTGAATGTATGATATTTTCTTTCTTCTATTCTCGCGCGTTGAGAAGGTGGCATTAGTTATTCTAGTAAGGTGTTGATGCTGGTCGCTAGATACTTAAATGTATAATTCTTTGGAATGTATAAATTCTTTGGAAATTAAACTGTGATCCTTGTGGTACGCATGTAACGTCACGTCGCATATGTACTGAAAACAGGAATTTTACATGGTTATACATTAAGTACAAATTGCTACTGGAATACATAAACGAAATAGAGTTTCTAGCGCAATTTTTATGAAATTGTATTTTTGCCTTTTTTCTCTTTTGTAATACACGCCGTATCGTGAGAGAAATAGAATCATGTGCGAATCAATCCTATGCGAGTTCAAAACTGATATCACAACGACATATCTTACGACAAGAATAACACGAAGTTAGTTCTGGATCATGTGTCAGGCGTATTTTAATCAGGTTTTTAAAATGTTATGAAACTTTGACTCCAAGATATTATTTTGAACGTTTTGATATTTATTACGACACTGTTTACGCAGAACAATATTAATGCAATTGTGCGTTGTACATATATACAATATACGATAAGAAAAGGGATCTGAAAGGGAAAAGCTGCAATATGGAGGTTGTTGAAGCTTGTTCAAAGAGGAAAGCCTCATCATGTACCAAAACGATGGCATGTCCATGCAAGACAAAAGTAATTGTCATCTCGTCAATATCTTACGAATCTTTAATCAATTATTTTTAATTCTCTTATCATACTACTGAAAAACTACCTACCTTTATGATTAATATTCCGTACGCAACGTTGAACTTTTTGTTATAATAATTTGGTTGATTACAAGTTATAATTATTAATGTATTCATAATAATTTATAATTGTTAATATCCGATTGTAATTATCATGATTGTATATTATATTCTGGTATAATATACAACATATTATTATTGGCAATTATTAATATTTATGTAAATTGAATATTTATGTTACTAACCACAGTACAAAAGATACGTGCAGCCTGCACGTGCAAAATCTTTTGCACCAGAGCGATTATACAAGGTACCGTCGAAGCAATTCGAAGACAGGACGACGTATCACTCGTCTTATCTAAATGTGGATCGCGCAACGGCGCGTTGTGCGCGACTACAACCAATTCGACCCGTTCAAAGCTTTGAAAAAAGTACTGGCAAGTTTTTCGACGAGACAACAAACAAACTATCCTACAGACCCGTATGGCAGATCGTTAAAGCGGAGCCTATCGTACCGAAACGTAGGTAAGACAAAGTATCTGTGGTAGCATCATTATTCATCATTGTAAAACGAGGACTTTATCTATTGTAATACGAACAGGATCTCCACGTTGAATGAAGATATTTAAATTATGCTGTGTATATATATAAATATATTATCTAAGAACTCTCAGCGGTTTTGTCTGCAATTATACGTCGAAATTCTTGAGTTGCGAGAAATGACGATTTAGGAACATAAAATCCTGGATCAAAGAAAGATTCACACATATGTTTCTTTATTGTCTTTCAGTTTAACAGAGCAAGTTTGAGATATCTTAAGAGAAGAGACTTTTTTGTATTTCTTTTACTTTGTTATACTAAAAACAACGAGACAGAGGAGAAAGAGAGATTAATTTGGAAGATTGTCAATAGACGTGCTAATAAAGTTTGGAGTACGTTAATATAATAATTTTGTTAGACCGCTGACAAGCACAGGCATGATGGAAACTGTGACGACGGTCCGCCACGATTACGTGGCGAAACGCGTGGAGAGGCCAGAGATGATTATACCCTGTGGAAATATTCGCACAAGTTCAGCTCCGTTGGACGACAGAACGATGGCAAGACTGTCCTACGTTTCTCCAGGGCCTATTGAACCTGTAATCAGTTTCAAACCGATATTAAAGTACCGTCCGTCGAGCCAGCCGCTTACCAAAGAGACAACGCAAAAACTGAGCTATCAGCCCTTCGTCGTCGTTAAAAAAGAATTTCATCCTTGGACGCAGAAACCAACGTACAAGTACGCGTGAACTCGAGTGTTACATCCTGACAATAACAAAATTATTAACAATAAAAAACGTAATAAATCCAAATGATAGAGATATATATTCTACAATTATTTTCTATAACATAAAAAACATATATAAATCTGAATATTACATATAGAATCATCTTACTTATTAATAATAATAATAATAGATATTATATTGTTTCAATTAGAAAAATTTAAATATAAAATAAAATTCTTCTGTCTCTTTGCTTGTTACGTGACAATATAACAATTATAGAAATATTTTCTGCATGCTTTTATTTTCTGTAACATAAAAGATGATATTAATTCGAATGTTTGAAGGCCACCGGACATCGCGATGTGCGGCAAGACAACTTATTCCGAGAGCTATATGGAGAACGATGCAGTTTCCGTGGCGAAGCCCTTCTTACCCGTCGCGACGTATGTATTTCCTTACGGCGCGGAATTTGCAGATAAAACCATCTACAAGGAGAGCTATCTACCTGGTAAAGCGGAGCGCGTGGTGCCGTCTGTTCCCTGCGGGAATATTTCTATCCCCGACGCAAGAATGTCCGCCGATACGACTAACAAGGTGCGACTTCGTAATTATTCCCGAGTCGCACGATAAAAAAACCGATAGTTCCTGTCGCGATTTATAACTCTCATAATTCTCATTACGCGAGTTACCTTGCAGCTGAGTTATCAACGAGTCTGGACCGAGAAGCGAAAATTATTTGTGCCGCGCGCTAGGACCATGTTGGCGACCGCTAAAATGCAATCGGAAACAACGACCCGTTGCGAATACGTAGCAAAAACGACGTTGCGTCCGGACCTTATCGTCCCCTCTGATAATATCCGCACACTCGACGTACCGTTGGAGGGAGACACAACTACCGGATTATCTTACGTAAAACCTGACGTGATAAAACCTGTTCGCAGCTACAAGCCCGTTATGCAATATTACAGGTGAGGAGAAACGAGAAACGTACATGTCCATCCAATTCAAACAGTTCAAAGGACGTCTGTGATGCAGCTAGAACTCTCAGGAGGAAACTCTTTCCTCCGAGGACGCCTTGAAAAGATTTACTTGACTTTGTAATCAATTTCTTTATTGTTTTGACTTTGCTTTAATTTAGTTATGTATCATATATGTTTGCGCAACATCTAATTAGCGCCGACTATTACTGTCTTATTGATTTATTCCGTCTTTTAAATCTCTTCGTGAAGTGTGTTCGACCGTGTTTCGAATTGTAAATTAGTAATCGATCTTGCTATGTGATCTCTGTCCAGGCCGGAAACTAAGATCGACTGCGAGACGATAAATAAATTATCATACCAAACGTGGGCGCCGAAACCTAAAGAAGAACTCCCATGGGCTCAAAGGACCAAATATCAAGCTCCAGAATATCCGATGGCCTGCGACACGGTTTATCACATGAGTTATCCCATGCCAGGTCATTATGTCGAGGACGATTCGTGCGCGGAGTGTCCTTGCCCAATTGAGAAACAGGATAACGTTTCGTCTGCTCCGACAGTAGCGTCTTAAATGTTTTTGGATTGAATAGCGTCCGCTGTATGCTGAAGATAAATTGCAATCTACTTTTGTTATTTTAAACCCGCAGTAGCCAACGTTCCCTATTTTTGGGACAAAAAACCTTATTATGAATAAAATTATTTTAGAGTAAAAAAAAACAAACAATCGTTCTTTAAATTTTGTAATATTTATTTCCAGTATACTTTCCTCTTTCCTTTTGAGGAAGCTAATAATATATTGCTAAAAAGCTATGCCAGTAAATAGAAATGATTGCGCTAACTATAATTATTTATTAATTAATTCTTCGTACTGCAATCATGGCATCTAAATCTAAATTAACAACATAGATAACATCAAAAACATCGAATTTACATTTTGCTCCTCGAGATTTCGGATATGGAGATGTACATCGAGCAAATCGTGTGAATTCTATTCTAAATATAGCTACAGCAATAAACAGCCGGGTTACTGGATAGCTTTATGGGTAGCCGCCTACCAAGGGAAAGACCCAAGTTTAATTTCTCTGCCTTGCCATTCTACTTATGATATAACAGATTTTGGATGGAAAAATATTATTTCATTGTATATAATAGAAACAAGTGTCCAAAACTTAAACAAATCACATGTTATACATTACAAAGCCGCGGTACTTTACCCCAATAGGGACGAATATCCATTAAAGTAGAAAGAAAAAAAAGAAACAACCATTATATTTGCTCTACAATTTACTTTATTCCGCGTTTAAACATACGTGTCACGTTATATCGTAAAACATACAGGGGAGGGAATAGGGCACCGTAGTAATTATCTATAATAACTTGAAGTTATTATAGCTACTTAGTTTAAGTTAAAAAATAAGGAGATATGTAAATTCTATGAAAATTAGTCTCCTTACTTTTTCCCTTCTCTCTCTGTTTTATATTTCTAAAAATATTCCTTAATTCTAAAAATAATTCTAAAAGTTTGTGTTAGATTTCAATCTAAATCGCCGCAAGTACATAGGTACACCCTAAATTATTTTTCAAAGACAACTTAACTCTCGGCAAAATATTACATAGGTCCAAGAAATTTGAGATATCACTGAAATAAAAAAACTTTCTTAAAAATTAGTTAAAATGATATAATCTTAAATCGACGAGATCTTTACAGAACTTGCCGAAATATTGCAGAATACAAAATTTAAAAATGCGCAAGGCACTTACTTCAGGTTACATCACACAATGCACTTTTAAATCTACATAACACGCGCTATCGTTCCCTTTAACATTACTTTTCTGTGTAACTGAACCAAATGCGACGAAACCAAAAATTTAATCGATTCCCTGTTTTTCCTTGGCTACTATCCAAATGCTCTATTTCCAAAATTCAAAATGCATGTAAATGGCAATTTGACTAGGTGATCGTGGAAATGATGGTCTATGCATTGTTGAAGCATAAGCGTACGCTCTAAAAATCTCTCTTCAATGAGTCTCTATCGTTATCTAATAATCCTAAACATTTTAATTAGGCAAGCAATATTGCAAGGAATTTGTTTTTCTCTTTATAATCATTTAAAGATGTAAAACCAATTTGTAACCATGGTATCATAACTACACAAATTATTATAAAAAAAAGAGAAAGAAAAATATAATATGATTTACAGTATTTCGTTAAAATGTTCTCTATAAAACGATCTAAATGTTTAACAAAAATAATTGTTATATCAATCTCTATATGTAATACTATATATATATGTAATATAGATAGATATTATATGTATATCTGCTTAGTAGAGCTTATAATCTGCTATTCACAAGCGACATACAGTTCTATTTATAATTACTCTCTTAGCACTTCATATGTTATAGACAATAATATATATAAATCTTTGTACTAAGTCTCTTTTACATTTTGTGTAAGAACTTAAATTACATTCATGAACGTTACAAAAAATGATACATACGAAGAGCTTAAGGAGAGGATAAAATTAATGAAATCGTTAACGGAAACGAATATGAAAAAACAATTTTTGGTTATCTCACTAGAAGAATTAATAAATTTGGAATATATAGAAACACTGAATCTAAGAATAGCTTGTTCCTTTTCATTAAAAAAATTAGATATATTAATGAAAAAGATCACAATTTTAGTTGCAACGTCAATTCATTAAACAGATACGAATGTCTTCGAATCTATTTAATAGTGAGTTGCTTAACGTATCAACATGATTTACGCAAGAGCCCTTGAATGTATTCAAGGGCTCAGTCAGTGCAACTTGAGTATAAGAGAACAAGATCAACAGAGATATATTACATATATATCATATTAGGTAAAAGTGATAACAATCTTTCTATAATCTTCTAAAGATATATAAGAAAGCCAATTTTTTCGTAGCTAGAAAACACTGGCTATGAATCGTTGTTATAAAAGAAGAGAAGAGAGAAAAAGAAATATAATTGCATTATTTTAGGATACGTTAATATCCCTCCCCTGTTAACAATTCGCGATACATTGCATTCGATTGCCTCCGGCGCGCTTCAGGCGTGACTGACAAATAGAGATCGAAGAAAGGTCGGGATTAGGCCTGCAACGGCGATCATTACGGATGTGCCGTCGTATCTCAAGGACGACGGTGCGTCTCGTATAGGCATACCTCCTATTGCAGCTTGGTAGATTGGTTGTACTGCATGAAGTCGAAGCCGAAGTTGTTCAAGTGATCCAAGTTGAGATTTTCGTCGATCGATGACAACTCGTTGTTACTCATCATCTCCATGTAGTCCATGTCCGAACCTGGCTGCCCAACGCCTGACTGGCCGAGACCCGGAGCGTAGCTACCACAGATCAAAACACAACCCCAATCACTGGCAATCCTCGATAATCATTATCGTAGGTTTAAATCTCGCCCTCTCTTCCCTCCGTATCTTTCCTTTCTCTCTAGCTTTTTTTTTTAAATCTGGGAATGTATCGTTCACTACTTTTTTGAAGGTGACCGATTATAGCCGGGATAGCCGGTACAACACGGCGAAGGGAGTACGAATGACAACCACAAGAGCCCCACCCAAAACTAGGCTTGCACGTCGGTCACTTGTCATCTCCGAGAAAAGCAAAATGGGAATCGTAAAATTCGTAAATGATTCTTTTCCCGTCGTTTTACCTCTCAACTCGTGCGGCGCACGAGAGCAACGAAACGGCAATATCGTTCCAATGAATCCGCGAGCAATAACGTTGCTCAATTGCCAGCTGCGAGTGATTGGAGCTGCATTTTGCAGAATAGTATTGAACATTCTGTTGTGGTTGTACCGGCTTGCTCCAGGCCTTTGCCTCTTTTACTTTTACAGACACAGTTATCTTATACGAGTAACATATCTGCGCACGTGGCACTGTTCTGCTAAACGTGGCATTTTTTCTTAACACGCGAATGTTTACGCTACATGTATGCAACATTACAAGCTACAGTATGCAAAAGTTATATAATAGTATAAAAGCTACATTAAAGCCATGAATAAGCCGTTGCATTAGAAAAATGAATCATAGAAAAATACTTGGCAGTCGAAAAATTAATTTTATCCTAATTTCTAATCAATATTTCACAATGGTCCACAATTGAGATATGATTATATATGAATATCTACTTAATCGAAATAGAGCCGTTTCAACGATAAAAACGAAATATGTTGAAATAAAGTATATGTGTTTGTTAAATTTATTATTATAATAAATTTTAAATTCTTTTGGGTTATAAAAATTTGCGTGTGGTTATACAATATGTGTTGTGTTTTGTATGTGTGTATATGTATGTGCGCGTTCGCGCTCGCGCGTGTGTGTGTGTGTCAAAAAATAAACAATACTAAAAATTAGAGTAGAAAACAGAGATCGCATTTTTAATACCAATTATACAATTTAACGCATAAGCTAAACATATAAATTTAATGATATACAAAATTGCAATTGTGCGTGAAGGCACTTTATATTATAGTAATTCATTTAGAGAATCTCCTCAAAATACTAATATTGCATTATTCATAAGTTTTTACACAGTAGCAATGCCTTTTAATACTAGATTTATAAATAGCTGATTAATCACAGGCTTTATTCATGCTATAGGTAATGAGTTGCATTGCTGTCAATTGCCTTTGTTTCATTCTTCAAATGAACATTACTTCAACATTTTTGTTAATTAATGAACAATATGTTTAGTATACAGTAAAGTATACAGGATGTTGAAAAACAATGTAGACAAACTCGCTGAGGGAGATCCAGGGAAATAAAATAAACAACTTTTTCCTCTGTATCCCTCCCTCACCAAGTTTGTCTATACATAGTTTTTCAGGACTCTGTATACATATGTATATATACATACATATATATATCTTTATAGATAGATAAAAATTATATATAAAGAAATCTGTATCAGAGATACATGCATATACGTATACATGTATATATGTATATATGTATACAATATATAAATAAATTATTTTTTAGTTATATATTAAGAATATTATTCGTTATATATATTTTTAAAATTTCAATCTGTTTTGACAAAAACTTGTATTAAAATTGGAAAACGCATTTGTCGTAACAAATACAAATTCCCGTTGTAACTATAACAAAAATAGATGTATAGCGTTTAAAATACTGACTGTAATTGCTTATTTGAATACTTTAGCAGACCATATGGGTATTCATAGTATTATCGGTAAAGCTGAAAAATGATACGTTTGTAATATAATTCTTTTTATAATTGTGGAGCTGAATTATATTAAGATTTAAATATGACTATATAATATGAACATTCTTGTTTGTTTATATGTGTATTGAAGAATATTTGAGCAAATGATTAAAGCACAATTGGGACGTTATCGTATGAATAAAGTCTCATGTACTTATAGTATAAATAAAGCCTTATTATTGGACAAAAATACTGGGGTACACACAATAAATATACATGGGAGAAAATGCAATGTAAGAGTTAATCAAAAACCGTTAAAAAAAAAAAAGAATACGTTGAGTAATTTAATAAATGATGATTTAACGTGATTGTTACTTTGTGGCGTCACTAGTCATACATTTACACATATATTTTGAATTTTACAGCAGATAATGATTATTTATCTGCATTCACGTCACAGTTGTTTTGTTCAGACAACCATATACTCGGAATAACCCAATATCGTCCAACACATAGTATCAGTCATTACAAAATTCGTTGAATAATGCGTGCCTTATCGTACATTACGGTCTAAACTCTTCATTTTTCCCCCTCGCTCATCTGGCTTAAATCTATCTCGCTCATTTAGCTTATTAAACAATACATTATTTTGTAAAAACTTTTACAAAAAGTACGATCGCGCAGTTATCATTACATTTTTCTATAGAAATCCTTGTCAAAAGACTTATATTATAAAAAAAAATGAAAAAAATACTGACCGTCTTTGCAAAAAAAAAATAGAAAATCTAGATGTATGTAAAATGTGAGTTAAGTGCAAGGAATGTGTAATACTTGTTTTCATTTGCAATAAGCTCACATAAATTATTGTCTTCGATTTTCATTTTTTTCAAGCCGGAGGGATGTAATATGGTACTTTGGTATTGTGTTTCATTTTCATTCACAATCTGAGATAGCAAATGACGAGAAATAAAATCTTCTGTGCCATCAACAAAAACGGTTTCAATATCTGTTAAAAGTCATAATCAATTATATGCTTGCAGTAGTAATCAAAAAATTTAGAACTTTCATTTTAAAATTATTCATAAAATACGATAGCACAATTAATTATATACTTGTAGTGATAAAAATTTAAAACTTTTACTTTAAGATTATCATTTATAAAATACGGTAGCATAACTAATTATATGCTACCGTAGTAACAATCGAAAAACTTTGAATTATCTTAAGATTATTAGTCATAAAATACGGGTGATATGTTTGACATCGATATACAGATGTCCGGTAAATTATGCCACAACCGATGAAAAAGTGATATCTCGTGAAGAAAGTAATGGAAAAAAAAGAAATATATGAAACAAATTTTTAAGTACAAAAAAAAATCATTTTCTTCGAAAGTTGCGCCATCAATTGAAAAAATGTTTTGCTATCGTTTACTTAATTCACTGGACATCGTGCATAATCTGAGATTCGTTTCTCTTTCAAGGATAACAAAGTACCAAATGTAAAGGCATATCGACATCTCGATATTTCATAGTTGATTTAGTAGAAATATCAGGTAAAGATTACTGATCCGATATTATATCCAAGAGACTGACCTTGATGCTACGGATGGCGTGTCCCGCGTGGATGGATCTGGTGGACTATGCGGTGGAAATACAGTCTGCGGTGTGGCAGGGTAACTTCCACCCGGACCGCTCTGGCCGTTGTTGCTTACGCCTGTTACGGATGAATGGGACGGCGTTTGACCACCGATGCTGGGCAGAGCGCCCCAGCCTGGCACATGTGTTACTAAATATGGCTTGACGTACCCGTTTGACGTTTGAGTTTGGTTATCTATAGAAATTAATTTATTATTACTATTATTAATTACTCACAAACGGTAAAATTAGTCTATTATACGTACCAGTAAATGGAGTGTAATATTTGCCGAAGGCAGTATCTTTGCTGATATCTGGATAGAGATACTGCAAATGTTGCATATCGGCAAGACGATCAGCCAAGCTTCGAATAGCAAAGTCTTTGCTAGTAAACGGTTGCAGCATGAAGACATGTTCTGATGTTGCTTGATCTGATAACGTTAAGATACCAGTTATGTATCTTCTCACATAAAATTTATCTCAGTGTATATCGAATTAGTTTCGATACTTTACCTCCAACCCAAGCAATAGTAATACCGCCGAGTTCTGAATCGGAATAACGCATCAAAAAAGTGCCAACCGCGCAGTTTGCCAGCATCTCTTCAGCTTGTTTCTTCCGGATGAATCCGAGGATGTATCGGTCGATCCATGGACCTCTTAGATGTTCCCTGGTCAATTTCATAACGGCATAAAACCATTCCCAAAAGGTAAAGTTTCTTTCGGGTAATGGTTCTTTGCAGAATTGCGCCCAACTCAACAGCATGTTCGAATAATCCTGACCGATTGAATTGCCATTGCTTCGGAATGCCTTCTCCGCGAGAAATCGGAGATTGTCCTCGGTCAAAGGATGACCAGTCGCCGAGCGGAACTTCATGTTCAATGCCTCCGCCACTTGGGCCCACGGCACTTTCTCCGGTACTTGGAACGGCTGCCTACCCGGTTCGGCAAACGCGTTATCCCAAGTGACCGTTGCCCATGCATGTGGTTCCTGGTTACCGTGTACTATCACAACCACGGGCAAACTCAGGGTCCAAACTTGAAATACTAATTCGCCTCCGCCAACGCAAAACTGCGATTGAAATAGTAATGAAAATTTCTCATCCATCACGGATTCCGTACCCTTCTTTTCCGTCCGCTTGATCTTCTTCAGCTGCATGTTGCGGAAACTCACCGAGAGTTGCCTGGTCGCCTGCAAAATAATATTACGTAAGCGCGATTATACTTTTAAGCTTTGAATTGTTCTCAAAATACTTTTGTCTATTTGCACATTATGACATTTAACATACAATGAATATCAAAAGTCTCGCACACCTGGTGATACTCCATTGTGCCTGTGTTATTCAAGATCTCGCCGCTGACCTCGCCGCATTTTGCCATTTTCTCACTTTTCAACAAAGCGTTTGCCTGTGTTTCGCTAATTATGCTCACTTTTACTTGCGGCGGTGTCATGTGAACGTTCAACTTGCCTCCGACAAGAAGGCGCACTGTGCTTGTAAAACGAGTGTTAGTCTTCATGACTTGCGGTGGTTGTTTCTCAATAATAAAAGTACTTGTGACAAGCGAACTGAGAAATTGTGTGATTTGAGTGTTCAAAGTTGGAAGAGTATCTCGAATGCCTGGTGGTTCACATTGGAACTTTTGCTTCAAACGTTCCGCTTCCTTGATCTGTTGCCGAGTCTGCCAGATTAGCTCGGCGAGACTCTCGCACCACTCCTGAATAGAATCTAAATTGTTGGACGCGAAATTTGCACCATTACCAGCCAATTGCTGATCTCTCTTCCACCTAATATCCGAAATATCAGGATTATTGATAGTTCGATAAGAGGAGGAGAAGTCTATATCTTACTATCTTTACATATCAATGCTTTACCTTATTAGCTCGTCGTCGAGAATTCTCGATTGTAAAACATTCAATTTTTTAATAATATCATCCAATTTCTCCATAAGCATCAAACGTAGACGAACCACGCCATTTACTTTTTGACTCAGTTGCAGATCCTGCTGTTCTTTTTGTCTAAATAAAGAAGAAGTGTCTTGTATCATAAGCTAACAGAAATTGTAATATCTATTACGTTTTAAATTGTAATTGTAATATGTACATCTTAAATTGCCAACAAATCGTCTTACCTCCTAATCTTTTTTTCCAACTCCATATTTTGTTGATTCTGCACTTGCATAGCGATATGTTGCAAATGGGCATTGAGTTTCGTACACTCGTGATAACTAAGAGCGAAAGATTCCTGCTCCTGTTCTATCTTTCGCAAGTCCTCCCCGGTCTCATATGTCTTTCGCCGCAATACATCGACCTGATGAGCTATTTCCGTAACCGTGTCGCCTAACATCAAGTTGACCCTGTCACTGGTTATCAAACCTCCTAAATGTTCGGCTTCCGCCACCAATTTCATCTCCGTGCCCAAACAGTGTCTAATTATTTTATACAACGTCAATGGATTGTCACTGTATCTTTGCTGTAATAAAAGGATAACAGCGATGAGTAACATTTTTTTTAAATTCAGGTAAATAAACACGAAAAGCGGCACGATATATAACTCACTCGGAACATGGTAGCAGCCTCTATCAATTTCATCTTTGTTACAAACATATCTTCCGTGGTAAGAGTGTTTGCTTTTGATTCTAACTCGAGTATCAATGATCCGACAAAGCTGTTTACGTAGTGCTCAAACTGTGGACTTTCCGTATCTACGTTATTCCTAAAACATTAACGATGAAATAATATAAATTCTCATTCATCTAAAAGTGACTAAATGAAAAGGTGCTTCCTCCAAAATTATATATTATTCTTACCACAGCTTTTCTTCTAACCATGATGACAAGAAGTGTCTCACTTCAATCGGGAAATGTTCGCCATATATATTGCGCACCTTTTGCAACGAGTCTTGCGACAGTTGCTGTGCTTTTAGCCACAGCGCCATTTTGTCAGATAATTGTAATCTTTCTGAGGAAAGAAAGTGTTCGTTACATTACGTTAATCGAGATATTCCCTTTCGCAGGTAAATATTCGAATCTTAAGGGCGACTGCGACCAACCTTGAATTAATTTAATCGGCGATTTTAATTCTAATTGGCCAAACCGCTCACAGTTGGAAATTCCAAGTACTTACGATTCATACGATTCATCGTCGCTAATCTAATCTATTTACTCATGTGTCATACAAAAATTCGTTCTGTATTCAGTCCATAGAAATTAATACGTCGATTAATACCGCAGGTATTTAATCGACGCGAGTTAATCGCCGATTAAATAATAGTATTTCTTTAACGTAAATAAAATTGTCTTTCATTGACAGAAAAAGAAAGAAATTAGAGGTCATAAAATATGAGATTTTGCAGGAGGTAATTATGCCGTTTGTATCAATCGTCGATTCATTTCTTGTTGACACAGGAAGATATTTAAATTAGGAACGATAAAAACAACTTAAAAAATTGACCCGGGCAATTCTGCCGTCTGTGTCAATCGTCGATTAATTAGAGTTATTTAATCGAAATTACCCCGACATACAAAATAGACAGTTTTGAAAACGTTCAACGGCGTTTCGTCGCTATATCTCGGCAAGTTGTAAGTACCGACAAAAAAATATCATTATAAATAGATTTTGCGAATGTTTCTTCCGCGCGTTGCAGCCGAGCGGGAAGCTATCGGAATCTCGATATACAAATAAACTGCGATACGCGAACATTATGTAATCTGATATCACTCGGATGATCGAGGATGACTCGTTGCTAAAGTTCGCGGCCAGATATCCCAGAAATATCGTGTATAACGAGTAATCGCGTAGTTTTTCCGAGGCTTATTATTCGGAAAATATCTCGAACTTCGCTTGGAGACGTCCCCGTTCATTGAGCTTACAACATCGATGGTAATTACGTCCGTAATTTATGTTGAAAAAAAATGAAGCAATCTCGCCGATTTATTTTTATCGGCGACAATTTAGCGCACTCGCCGAGGGAGGAGAAGACGTCGCGCGCTGAAACTTGGAAGGAACGGAAGTTCGCGCGAAGGAGCCCAAAGGAAAAAAAAACACGGCGACGACGAAAGTTCGTCGAAAAGTCTCGCGACGAAAAAGCTCGCTCGCCGAAGCAGAGGGGAAGAAAAAAGCGTGTATCGCGCGCACGTACGTAACAACGTAACACGCAAATAGATAAGAACGCGGGGGGAGGGGAGAGGATAAAGAGGGGAGAGAAGGGAAGGGATGGCGAGAGGGAGCGGGGGGACGAAGCGGGGAGCGGGGGTAGAACAGCGGGCAAAGAGCGAACGAAGACTCGGCTCCGGAATTCGAGACTACTCGGAAACTCACCCGATCCTCGTCCCCGCTACTCGCACGTTTTTCAGAAAGAAGACGTTTCTCGGCGACGATGTTATACGACGCAATACATACGGCGTACGCGTAATCGTAGCCGTTGCCGTTGCCGTCGCCGTCGCCGCCGTCGCTGCTGCTCCGCTCGCCTCTTCGACGTGTTGTTTCACACCGGCGACCTTGAAACTTATCGCTGACGCGCGGATGCGACGTCAGCTATAATCCGCGCACTGGCCGCGCAATAATCGCGGAAAGGAGTACGCGTATTGCGCGCGATCGGACTCACACCCACGCTGCCATCAATAATGCCCGCTCCTCGTCCTCGGGACCAGCCTGTCTCTGTCCCTTCTACCGAAAGTTACACCCCGAAGAAGTCCTCCTACCGCCGCTTCCGCTCCAATCCGCTCCCTCGGCCGTCCTCTCGGCCGCGTACATCACAGGCCGTCGGGCACCGTCGGACGACGCGGATGACGGCGGAGTGAACCGACACGGGTGGAAATTCTCGGAATTTCCTACCGTAAACGGCGCCGGCGGCCGACGGTGGGGGCGCGCGCGCGCGCGAGTGGGACGTGGGACGGCTCACGTGACCGTCGCCGGACCTGCGCACACTGCACACTGTCGCCAGCCGCAAGCGGGATGCGGGATCCGTGATCCCCGCGCGCCGTGATTTATCGATAAACCACACCGACGGGTCTGTTTTTCCTCCTCGCGCTCCTGCTCCTCGCCGTTTTTCTTTGCACGCGCGCGCTTCGTGCCCCGTGGGCGCGCTGAAGTAAACGACGATAACGGCGCGCGAGAGCGCGCGCAAATTGTAAATAATTGCGAGAGAGATCTAGTGAAGCCCCGTTTATCGATAAATCATCGATTTATTCGTCCGGTTTCTCCGTGAAATACGTTTATGTCATTATGCAAATCCGTCCAGTTTCGCGGATTTCCTTTACATTTCGGAGAAAGAAAGTATAGAAAGTGTAGGAATTTAATAAAAAGAAAACACAGATAAGATTCAAGAATTACGTAATAACGTATGATACGTATGGCTATATAAAATGTTTAATTTATTGAAATATCAGAATAATTTAAAATTTTCACAAAATTGTGAGTAAAATTATACGCGTATAACGCATAAATATAAATGTATATATTTTTTCTATAATATATTCTCGTTATATATATCACAAACTTTACGTATAGTATATATAAAATATAATACAATATAGATAACAAATACTTTTGTTGTATGTGGGTGTATATGTACACACACAATATACTCAATCTGTTCGGCCTATAGGCCTTTAAGTGTGTAGCAAACTAGATATAAATAACAAGTGTGATGTTTAGATAGATCTATTAATAGATCCATTTGTTAGAAATTGTTACTTTCTTGATATCACTGTGATATCATTATCATAGTGATATATATATCACTAACAATAAGATATCAAACGTAATATATAGAGTATTTAGTTAATTTAAAAAAAATCAATATATAAAACAGCAGTAAAACAGTATAAAAAGATATAAAAATACTGTTTATACAATATTCTTTAAGATTAGAAAAAGGCAGAGGACGGCATAACGTTTGACTATTTCAGATATTACAAGGTACGCATGCTGTGCAAAATCAGTGGCGGTAGCGTGAGCAGTACAGCCCCGATTAGATACGTCGTGGCACTCCCGATGCACCAAAACGCTGAAATAGGAATGCGCGCGTTAAAGAAAACGAAACTGATGAAGCGAAAGCATTTGCGTAAGTTTAATTTACCTGTAGAGGCGACGACGGGTCCGCAAGCGCGAGCCAGTGCACCTAGAGAGCGAAATATACCGGTGATCGCACCCTTTTGATGTTCGGGTCCAATACGCGTCACCAGAGTCATCATACAGGTGACCACCATCGCAGTGGCTGTAATTTGATAATATGATGCAATTGTTATTGCAATGTATTATCGCGTGTACCATGTTCAAACGATAAATTCGAATTTACTAATTTCCATATCGGTAATAAACAAACAAACGTAATGCTCACAAACTGCGAAAAGAAAAATCCCGACACCCAACATCTGTACATTGGTAGCGATCCCGATGCATATAAATGCGGGAATTATTAGCCACAAACCCTAAAATAATATTAAAAAAAGGTCTGACTGAATGAACAAGTATCACCTAATAACGGAGAAATGTATAGAAAGATTGACAAAAAGGTTACCAGCTCGCCGATGGTTTTTGTTCTATTCGGGGGTATATGCCGCACCCAACCGCCCTGTAAAATTGCCATTATCAGTCCGATCCAGAGAAACATCCAACCTTGTTGCATGCTAGTAAATCCGAACGTATGATGCGTCAAAAATGTCAGAGTAAATTCCAAACCACTGTATATAAACAGATATATGAAGTACGCTCGACCCAATATCTTCAAATCTTGTTGATCTGAAAACAAAATCCGCTCAAAGTTCACAGGATCTTTTTTGCTGCTTATAATTTAACAATGATACAACTCGAGTAATAATTTATATGTAAGTTACAAGAGATAATTATTTTTGACATTCTCTACGTTAGGATACCTTGCCGATTCAAGTTTAGCACTCCATTAAATTGGAAGAGATCGATAGGATTAATGTAGGAAATTGCTCCGGATAATCCTTTTGCTAAAGTAGTCGCTCTATGTTTTAACGACAGACTTTCCTTCAGGTAGTAAGCAACAAAAAATAAGTCACTCAAGGCGAGGAAGAGCGCAAATAGAGCTGGCATCACATACCACGTGCCTTCTCTATTACCACTGGAAATCCACGCGAAAAACGCTCCTATCATTGGTCCCACGACGAAACCGATGGAAAAGGCTATCCCCACAAGTGCCTGCAATAATGAGAGAAAAACGCAATTTGGAATTAAGTGGTATTTATTTTATAGGAATGCAATTTATTTATGCATTAAATGCTCGCTCATTTTGTTTCTTTACCATTGCCTTTCCTCTTGTTTTCGGAGAAGTGACGTCACTGATAACAGCCATCGACAGACTGATATTTCCCTTACTGATACCACCAAGAAATCTGGCCAGTACAAATATACCGAAATTCATAGACAATGCCCATAAGAGGTAGGACAGTGAAATGCCTATCAAGCAGAGCAACATCAACGGTTTTCGTCCGTAAATATCCGATAATGCTCCAATGATTGGTGATCCCAGAAATTGCAAGAAGGAATACATAGAACCTAGGAAACCTGTGAAGCAAGAGACAATTTTAAAAAGGTATAACGTGAGAATTATCTTTTTGAACAAAAGTTCAACTACCAACCTCCATAAAGAACTGTGCTGACTTTATCTGGCGCGTCAAAGAATACTTGTATGCTCTTCATATGGCTCAAAATACTTGAATACAATCCATGTCCCTTTTCTATCTCTTTATAATGGTCCAGTAGAGCTGGCAGTAGCGGCAAAATCATTGTGAACGCTAGGAGATCCAGCAGCAGGGATACGAACACCACTCGTACTGTATTATCCTTGATTTCATTCATGTTTTTTTTTCAATATACAGTATTACACTATCCTCAAAAATTTGTATAAATTTTTACTTAATTTTAAGGATTTTCTCTGCGTTTATAGATTGCTCATATCCTCACACTCGGTCCACGACAGACTGTTACGCAAATCGTTCGCGGATCTCCTAGATTCAGGAAGCGATTACTCGCTGTAATTTAATTTCAAAGCCACGAGTATACTTGCAAATTTGATTGGTATCTTTTATCCCATTACATAATGTAAACATTGTCATTTGTTCAAATACGTTCCTCAGCCCCGCCCCGCAATCGTAAGGTATAATAAGGAAGAGTTTCCCGGTCCCGTCATCGCGGCACGGGATCGTTAAGACAGACTCGTGTCACCCAAAAGTGAAAGGCTCTAATCTACCATCCGGCATCCCGTTATATCCCACACATGCTTCGCATAATGCGGTCAGTAGTGAACATAGTAAACGTCGCATAACCTGCTTAATGAAATGATCGAGTTGGGGGTATCTTCGGAATCTGCGGCGGGTAAGGTAGGAAATATTCGATACCGATGGATGGTCAATCAAATTATTTATCTGCATCCGACTGGTGTCGCTATCTCCCACTATCTCTCGATAAAATAGAGCGCCATATTTTCCGTCAGTAAAGTAGAGACCGTGTTTGCAGAAACTGCATCATCCGTCATCCGTCCCGTGGCAAATTGTGAAAAAAACGGCGTCTCCCCGGATTTTCGTCGATCTACGAGAAACACGGCGAAAATGTAAGGACTACGGCCTGGCGAATTCGAGATGGAGAAGCGGCGGCCGCGAGACTTCTCAGCGAAGCGACGCCGAGTCGCGAATCCAAGAGATCGTTAGATTGTTTTTATTTGCCAGTGAAGCGAGAAATAGCCGGCGAGCGAGCGGACGGACGGGCGGGCGGGCGCGGCGCACCCAAGAGGCATTATATGATGCACGTTCCGACTTCCGGCAGCGTGCGCTCGCGCTCTCGCTCTTTCACGCGCGCACAGCCGCACGCTCGTGCGTGTGTTTGCGCGCTCGCGCTCGCGCGCGCACAGGCCCACTTCCTCGCGTTCCGACGCTCGAACAAAGATCTTTTCAAACCCGTACCGAACTGTAACATCGCATGGCCCCGCGCGCGAACGATCGTTTCTAAATGCTCTCTCCGCTGCAACTCAATACTCCCGATGCCGTTTTCTCTCTCTCTCTGTCTCTCTCTATCTCTCTTTAACCGTAATGCACGCGTCTCCTGCCTGCGAGATTCACATTCTCTCTCTTTCTCTCTCTCTCCATCCCCCTTTCCCGTCGTCGTGCGTGTGCACGTGGAAATACGAGTTACGCGACACGACGGAAGGGAAAAAAATCAAAGCGTGAGAAACGATCCGCGCGCGATCGATCGGACGCGAGTATACTGCAGAAAACGCGTTCTGCTCTTTAGAAAAGAATGAAGATTCCTGGCGAAGTATATAGGGACGCCTGCGAGAAGGCGAATAAATCCCGAGCGAGCACGATAATCATCCCTGACCTATAATCTCTTGTGTTACACGTATATATTTATTATTGTATTAGGACAACACGCACGTTACCGATGTCAATGTCGATGTTCATGTTTACTGGTTCGCATAGTCGATCTCATTGCCAGTTATTTGTTTCGTTTGAATTTATGAATATAATTTCAAAATTATATAAGTATGTAACTGTAGAATTTTTAAGTATAGCTCTAATGTCTATTTGTATCAATGCAGATTAATCTTAATCTCGGTTCAACTTAAGTACCATTTACTTTTTCTAGTTCTAATTTTAAGAATTAGAAAGGAGTAAAAAGTAAAAGTTAACCCGAGATTAAAATTAATCTGCATAGAAATGGACATTGGAACACCGCACTTGTAAATTCTAGAGTTATATTTATATAATAATATACTTATATAATTTTGAAATTGAAATGAAACGAAACACACAGAGATCGACTATGCGGACCAGTAAATAATATCCTTGACATTGACATCAATAACATGCTTGTCGATCGTCTTAATACAATAATAAATGTATACGATATAACACAAGGATTATAGGTAAGTATTTCTAAGTATGATTCTAAATTTATAAATATAATTTCAGATCTGAATGAAAATAAAGTGGACAGATTGAGAAAGGAAGAGAAATAGAAAAAAAAAGAGTAAGCGAATAGACGAAGCGAGCGGACGAAGAAAGTTCTGGAATTCGGAAACCGACCACGGTAGGCGAGACGAATAATTTGATCGTGCGATCGAGAAGGATCTGTCATCGGAATTGCGCTCGTATCTGTCGAAAATCGTGGCGTTTAACGAGCCGGGCTGATTTACGCGTTGCAGCAGGTGGTAGCGATGTCGTCCGGGACTCGGGACCGGCCGTCAAAAACTGCAAGGGTACCACCGGGCGCTTGCCATCTGGGCCCCTGCCTACCGCGCAAAGGTCCATACGGTCTACTGACGTCCTGCGTGCCCCTCGAGATTTCCAAGTGCGCTTATAAAGCGATAAGACCGCGAAATTGCAGGCTTCGCGGCGTAATCGTGGCGCCGCGATATTTCCCAACGCGATTATTCGAATAAGATATAAATGACGGTCGTTGCTCATTAACGACCCGCTATGATATCCATTAGATAATGCGATAACTCTTAAATACAGGGTGAATTGTTCCGAAAATCAATCTTGTACGAAGAAAATTTGTTCTAACTTTTTTCGTCTCTTTACGAGGAATCGTCTCTTTCCTCTTTTTCCTTCTTCCTTTTCAATCAGTTTAAAGACACCCTGTATAATGATGTGTTTTGTCTACAAATATAATTTTTATGTTATTTTTTTACGTTATAATTCAGCTTTCGCGTAAACTGTAATGAGTTTCACATGAGACGTTATTTCCTTAGACCATACTTATTTTAGACTGTACTCGAGACACCTAATTTCACTCGAGTTGAAAAATATTCCGACATCATGATTACGGTAATCCAGCGCGCAAACAGAAACAGGCACGCGCCGGCAACGTTCGGCAGGTGTTGACATTGACCAAACTTCGAACCCCCCCAACATTTTCCTGGTTTACTCTCCATATCTCTCGATGTTGTGCGGATTTCGGTTACTCCGAAGTTCGAAATCGATCAAACGTTGGTGTTCAAATGTATACCGGGTGGATGCTTACGATACCTTTACATTTGTACTTACTTTTGCGATTTAACGAACCCTCGCATAGATTGAAAGGGTTTGTTAAATCGCAAAAGTAATAAAACATAATCTGATACCTACATTTAATATTTTTTCAGGTTTTCGAATATTTTCTCTTATTGTTGGTATCTCTCAATGTTGCTCCATTGTACGTTTCAGGGATTCGAAAATCGACGTAACGTTGATTTTCGAACGTGTGTGGTCGCTAACACATGTGGTTGGCGATTGTTTAACAAATCCTGATCGCAAATTGAAATACGTTATATTTTCCACATAGTTTCTTAGAAGTAATCGATTGTCGTAGGTAAAGGAAAACAATCGGGAATTGTTCTCAAAATATGTCGACCTTCCATCAATAATACTTTACCACCGGGAGAGTTGGAACAGACCGGATATGGTTAAAGTTAAAAGTTTCCTCAAAACTATAACATATATACGGAGGGAAAAAGAAAGCGTCGGGATTTCAAAAGAAAAAAATATCTATTGAAAGAGTAGAAGAAAAAGGCTCTATAAATCTAAGCCAAAAGAACTAATGTCCAAAAATGACAAGCGTTACAAGTAATGTCCAAAGTTGTAACGTTTGTCATTAGAAAAGTTGCACAGTAATATATATAATTCAATAAGTATTAAAAAAAATTATATAAAAGTATTATTAAATTATTGTCAAATATCCAACAGTCATAAATGCGCGAATATTAGGCTTCTCGAATGTGTTTCGATATATGCAAACTCATGTGTTAAGGATTTCGACCCCATAGGTAGCGTTAAGTTAAAACTAATAGACGAACAAACGAAATGGGCAATAGAAAAAGGAAAAAAATTCAATCTTTTTCTAGCGGCATCGAAAACGTCTGCAAAAGTGCAAAAAGCAGGAATGTTGCCTGACCACGATGATGCGAGGGAAAAGGATTCTTAAGAAAAATTCCCACGGATGCAAATTCCAGGATTGTCTTTCCACCAACGTCTCTCGGACCTCGGACGGGTCATTGATGACCGGCAAGAAAATGTGGTTCCCTTGCGACTTTTATTCTCATCTAGGTATTCTTCAGATTTTCGGGCGTACTTAGAAATTTTCGGTTCCTCTCTGTTTTTCCCATATTGAAATGCATTACAAATTGATTATTTTTTTTTATACGCGTAAAGAAGCGTTAAGAAGCCCAATAAATCATGTTGTATAGAGTAAGTAAATTTATAATTTTTGAAAAATAAATGGGAAGAAGACAAAAGAGTCTTATATTTGAAAAATGTACGGTAGACATGTACGTATAACATAAGGATACATTCTGTGTTGTATACGAATCACATAGATTATATATGGATTGTGTATGAATATGGAAACACATATTTATAAAAGATGTAAGTATTTATCACAAAAAAATGTAAAATTAATATTAGAGATGTAGTACAGTAAAATATTTTTATTTTACTTTAAAACAAACAAATATTAAAAATTTTCCATTGTATAATATAAACCTATGTTATATGGGAGTCTACTGTATTTAGCAAACCGTTTTAATATTTAATACACATATTTAATACATATAAATTAACCCGTGTATTCTCGAATGTAAGATTCTGATGGAGAAAAAGAACATCTTACTTTTCAAATGAAACAACGTTTCATCATACATTCGCACCCCCGAAGTCGAGTGTCCAAAACTCTTTAGATTTCTCTTCGTTCTTAAAGATTGAGGGATCGAAAATTGCTGATACTGCATTTTTGCTTCTAGAAAGAATTGCCTGTAATCCAATCCAAGTTGGACGCCGGCGGCAGGATTCTCCCGGGAAATGCGAGCAAAATAGAGAGGACGGATAAAAGACAGGAGCGAAGAGGAGATACAAAGAGAACGGCAGACTCGAAATTTTCTCGGAAGCAGTGCTGTGAGCGTCGCGAGATGAAAAGCCCGTGGACAATGGGGACAAAGGAAATTTTCGGGGTACCGGTGGTGTTATGTACCGGCTGGCTGGCAAGCTGCAGCTCCGTCGCCGCACCGCACCGCACCGCCACGCCGGTAGCGCGATGCACAAAATCCTGCATAAGCCGCGTTGCACCAGGGCCAGGTATACAACACTATTCGCAATTGACGGAACGGACGGGAAAAAGAAACAGTTTTTTGGAGAGAAAAGTTTCCACCGGTATTTTAAGCTTCAAACCCCAGGCTCCGTCCGGATGTTCGACCGTTGAATTTTTCAAGCCTGAACATTTTCAGGCACGGTTAACAAGCGTTCGATTATTTAGGATTCTAAACGTTACGCCCAAGACATTTTCACTCCAAGTTTTGAGACTTCATGAAATCACGATGTTTGCTCACTTCTAAATTTTCTATCCTTCCAGCTTAATTGTCTCACAAAATATTTAACCGTTGAAAGTAAAAATAGAACGATTAGCCATTAATATTAATTGCTAAAAATTATAAAATGGCAATATATGCTAATGGCTGAATTATTTAACTTTTCTTTGCAAAATGCTTTATCGTGGATTGTCCTAAGACATCTCGAATCTCTTTCAAATACCACCCAGGTTTTCGGAAAATTCCATGAAAATTTCACATTATTTATAACACAATATTCCGTATATTCAAACTTTCTTTTTATGAGAATCCTGCTGAAGTAGAAATAAAGATAAAGTTGAAGAGAAGAGCGGCATGCATTGAATTGATCGCATCCGCTGGTTCCTTCCAATGCTCAAGGATGACATTCAGGGATACAATATTCAAGGTTGTCTTTTAGATGTAGCTTCAGTTAAAATAAATTGCAGGCAATAGATCCTTACGAAGGAAAATAAAACTCAAACTTATCGTTCGTCCTTCGTGACCTTTTAATTGCCGTCAAATATGCCGCTGGCTAAAAATAGATTTAAAATTCTGCCGAAACGAGCTCTGTTTAAAATATCGAGTTTCGTTAAACCTTCGTGCACCATTTCGCAGGTCTAAAAGGTCTGTCAGCGTTACGATATTCATCCGCACGGAGATTCGGATGAGCACCGTGCCCTTGAACTTCGTAAGCTAGTTACGAGTCTCCCTGTATGTCGAAGGGTGCCGTACGAATAAGAGCAAGGGGAGAGAGATAGTACTGCAACGGTTTATGTACACCATAAATGATCCCGGGGTCTTTCTTCTTTCTAGAAATCTAGATGGACGAGGTACCAGTTCCTCCGGTATAAGAGGGATGCTAAAGGAGAACGGGCTCCGTCAACTCTCCGAACGCATAGGGTGGTACACGTGGTGGAGTGGTACACGTGAAATACAACGGGAGGTATATATGCGGAAACCGCGTCGGAGCGGTCAACCTCGGCCTCGGGAGAGGTAGAGAGAGAGAGAGAGAGAGAGAGAGAGGAGGAGGGGTAGAAAGCGTGCAGAGGACGAAGCGCAGACGATTTGGGACGCAGTTTAAGAGCCGAATGGCGCGGAATAGAATAGGGAATAGTTTATGTGACGTTTTAGGGCGTAAGCCACTTCACTTCCATGTAAGGTCGATAGGAATAAAATAGAATATGGCTCATACAAGTATAATGCGGCTCAATATAGTTATATAATTTCAAAATACTCTACGGGAGAAAAAGATAGACAAGTCGGTGCGGAAAACTCGGGGAGTGATGCACCTCGTGCGGTGTTCCCTTGAACGTAAATCATCCCCTGAGATTAGATTTTTCCCTCATACTGAAGAAATATAAAAATTACTAAATAACGCGATTAATTACAGATCAAGGGCATTTTAAGAAGACGAACTCGATAATTTCGAGAGAAACGAGGCACGATGATTACAGCGAAACACGACGGATTGCAGCTCGCGTTGGCGCGATTGTGCTCAAGAAGAATACGACATCCTCCGAGAGAGGAAAGAAAGGCGACAGGGAGAAAGGAAAAAGAGATCGCGCGGGCGATCGAAGGAGGAAGGAAAGCAGAAAAGGAACATGGAAATGAAACGATAAGAAAAAGAGCGACGAAAAGAAGGAAGAGGAGGTGGGGAAGGAGAAGGAAGAGATGGTCGCATATATACGCTCGTATATGCGTGCTCTCGCGCGCGCCGTTCTCTCATCGAGCGCACGCACCGCACCGGCGTGGGCACCGAGCGTAAGTATATGTGAGCGCGTGCCCGCGCAACCGACAGCAGATGCGCTCGCAGAGCGCAGCTGTCCTCCTACAAGTGGTTCTCAATCATCCCTTTCCCCGATTTTTCTTTCTCCCTCCCCCCCGCCCCCCTGTGCCCCCTTGCCCCTTTGCCCCGCGCGGGAGTTCGGGGCACAAAGGAAATCGCTGTGCGACGATTACACTTCGTCTCGATAAACATCCGCGTCGCAGCTGATCGCGAGCGATGATCTCTTTCTCTCCCCCCCATCCCCCCCCTCCCGCCTCCCCGAACCCTCGTCCGCGCGGGGGAGAAGGTGAGCGCAACATTGGAAAAGGGAGCAAAGGCGAGAAATATAATGCGCGTGTCTCTGGTGAGGGAGAAATATATAGGTACGCACACGATCGAGGGACACGCCTGGCCGAAGAATAATATGTATTTCTGCAACGATCACACACGTCCTCGACAAATTCGAGGAATTTTGTTTCGAAATCGGCTGCTGCGTCATGTGATAGAAAAAAAAAATGAAGCCAATAGATGATACAAAGGTGAGCAAGGAATTGAAAACATGTATTATACGAATTTGTAATAATCAGGCTTTCTCGGCGAGCTTTCGCTCTTTTCGTTGAGTCAGAACAACGATCGTTATGAATTGCAAACGAATAATGTGTTATAGGTCGATAGAAACATGAGGCGAATGAAATGATCTCTGATAAATATGCGATGTCAAAGTGCTGGCACAAAATAAAAGCTATATATGTAATAAAACGATAGAAAACGATCCACGTAATATTTAAAAAAGTACAATGGAACTAATATACGAGGACAATGCGTTTTCAACCAGTCAAACAGTTAAAAATACGGACGAAATGTTACTTACGAAATTCATCGTGCGGACAACGTTAAGATAATGTGCCACGTCGAGAAGCGTGCTGCAAATAATGTTTGAGAGAAGCCTGTTCCAACCTGTTACAAAGTGGAGCCCACGTTCTTAATGACGTGAACACGTGGTGAACGTAAGTTTCAGCTGTTCCAGGTGATACCGCGACGTGTGTTACGCGCGGACCGACAAAGCGACCGTAGCTGTTTGAAATCGGTACAATCGTGCTGCCTCGCATTGCTGCGCCCCGATTGAAACGTCATTCTTCCAGATCTTACTTTATTGCTTCGTCGATTTATCCGACGATCGATCATTTCTGCATTAATGGCCAATCTGAAGTTCTCGTGGCGTAATTAAACTTTTATACAAGGTGTATAAATGAACCGATCTCTTCACGAGTCAAATCTTTTTATTCGTTGGTAAAATACTGCGAACATTGATATTAAATCGTAATTTTAATATATTTAAATCGTCAAATAGACGTTCAACTGAACGAAAGCTGAGACTAGCCGAGAAATACATTTTATTTATTAGTTGCCTACAATGCTGTATTTTACAATTATTTTAGAATTGTTGCGAATAAGTGAATTTATTAACGTATCATGCGATGATTTTAAAGACAGCATTCGCTCAATTTTCGGGTAGCTATCTTATTTACATACGTTTGTAGGTGCATAATCAAATGCGGCATGGCGAACAAAACGAGCATGTGTACGTTCTGCGATGCGTAAAATTACTGAGTAAACAGGGCTAAACACCTTAGCGAGGTGACGGGGCAGCCGTCGTCCCGCGGATTACAAGGCATTATTTATAAAGCACTAACGAAGAGGCGTTTTTCGTTAGCACGACAACGTGGTCAGCGTTGCTCGAGCAGGAGAAATTTACCGGAAAACGTTAAGTACAACACGAAATGACCTACGATGTTCGTAACAGCTCGAGAAACACAAATGCTTATAAACATTAGACAGACATAACATTCGTTGTCTTATCGTCTTCTTTGGTTGCTCGCTTATACCGTGACCGTTGAACGAAAACATACAAATTTCGTTTCGTATTATTACTTATATATAATAATACATATTTTTCAAACTATATATATGTATGATATTTATAAAAAGTTGTCAGATCAGGTAATCTATCGAGTATTTGAAGTTTATTTTTGACAATTTTTGTGTTAAAATTCAAAATAAAGTTCTATTAATTATTTTATGTGCTGTGCGATGTAGAAGTTTGAAGAATTAGAATATATGCGCACATAAAAATATATATATGTATATACTAAAATATACACATTATAAATAAGGCTTCTATTCTGAAATCTGAGCCAATTTGATTTTACATTTGTTCATGTCTTTGAACATACACGTCTATTCGCATATACGATTATTCGCAAGGTTTTCCGAGGTTTTCGCTCCGATAAATCACGTATAATAATCCGGTGCTTCGGCAGGAAGATTTTCATCGTTTGGGGCCGATCGGAAAGAAGGCAGGGAGGTAGGCAGGCAGGCAGGCCGGGCAGAACGAAGCCAGGGCCAGGAGGACTCGTCCCGTTGCGCGGCGGATATCTGTCACATTCGTCGTAAATCAGGCACGGGGAGCGAGGCGCAAACCGTCATCACGCGCGTGTATAATCGTCAAGCGTTAATTTTAATCGTTCCTTCTTTCCCTCCTCCCTACCACCGAATGGCGGGATCTCTCCCCCGGGTCCCGACGGTCTCCCCGGTCTCCGATTGGTCGCCGGCCGCCTGTCGCTACCTACCTACCTACCTGGACGGAAGAAGCAACCTGGACGGAACCTGGACGGTGGACCTGGACGGAAGAAGGATGAGGGGCGGTCGCGCGCATATCGCGTCACATCGCCTGAAAGGAGCCGAAGGCGAAATCCAGGACAGCTGATACAATTTTGGCGGGCTCCGGACGTGCGATCGGAATAATGCGGGAGAAACTAAAAAAAAAAAAGGGAAAAACGGAGGGAGGGAGGGAAGGAGAAGGGAGAAAGAGAGAGAGACGCGCAAGGGACGCCGAGGACAAGAGCGGGGGGACGGAGAGGCAGGCAGGGCAGGGACAGAGGC